GAAAAGAGCGAATCGATGCATCCGTCAATCAATTCGAGCACTTACTATCATAGATTTTTTATGTTATTTTGTTTTTCGTTATTGTTTTATTTTGAAATACATAATACGTTGTCAATTTGTTAGTTTCCTTATTGTTAGTTATCTTAACTACCTAGAATAACTGATTACTAAATAGGTCCCTACAAAATGTATGGTAAAAAGTTTTTTGCGATTTCTGACATTTAGAGTACTTTTACCTCAGTTGGTCCCATAGAGTCTATTGATCCTTACCAGAGAGCGAATCGAATGGCTTAAAAAAAGTTTTGTAAAAATTGCCTTTTATCTTGCTGACTGTACCATTTTTTCAAAATCTGTGAATGTAAATCAAAATATCTTCAAAATTTATAGATAGTCTTCTAGAACCATTTTCCTGTAACTACAACGATTGAGGTAGCTGGCCTTGCTGCCCCGTCTCAAATTTACACCCTGTATGATTAATCAAAACAAATTATTAGTTTATATATATGTTACTGATTAACTTCCGAGTTTAACAGGAAGTGCTCTTTTAATTTAATTTGTACTGTTTATATTTTTTTAATAATAGTACATAACTTAAATTTTCACTAAAAAGTAGTAGAAAAATTACGAACACTAGGAATTAATACACGAATTTAATGTCTACTGCACTTGTTTGGAATTATCACAAGAATTGAATGTATGAAATACTGCTCTTGTGAGACGTTTATAAAGAAGAACTAGTAAGGCTGCCGCTATTGCAGCAAGCAATTTCCTCGATAAATTTACTTTTCTTAAAAAAATAAAAAAACACAAAAAAAAATTGTTACCTAACCGCTTAGTTGGAGCACTAAATAGTTTTATTTTAATTTTAAAAGTTAGGATGGATCACAGGTTGTGGAAGGGGTGGAGGGTTGTGGAATATATTTAAAACTAGCCTTATAGTAGTAGAAGAGCAATAGTTTATAATCGCTGTGTGTTACCAAAGTGGCTTAAAATATCAAGTCGGAGGTAACTTCAGGATAAAATTTTGAGGTTGCCAAATAAAATTCACAAATATTTGTACGAACTGTTGAAGGCGAGGCACGTTTTAACAATAACTCCTTGTACATGCAAATAGGCCAGCAGCACAGCCTATTTCGTAAAATAAACAAATTGTGCCTTACTGTGGAAATTCTGCTTTTACTGGTCATGAAATGCTTTCGTGCTGTAATTGTTAACGATATTTAATTCAATTCTAAAAAATTACTCGTATTATATGGACATTATTTAAGGAGTAGGGTACTGGTAGATGTGTACACAGCAAAAACTGTAAGTAACTTAAGAGGGCACCGAGCTTTTGGCGCGAATTGATTTTAAGTATTCTATGCGCTCAGTGTTTAGATGTGGCATACGTTTTTAAATCCGTGTGTAAGTCCAAGCGACGCAACCTCCATATCCGACGGCCGAAGCAGAACTAAAGCGGACAGGGGGGAAGCGTGGCGGCTCTGGCTAGCATGGGCGAACAGCGTTCGAATTTAGGTATTTCCTTCGTATAATTAAAACAACTACACATTTGGAAAATGTACGAAGTATGCGTTATAGAAAAGATGTAGTTGTGTTATTATTAAAAACTAATGACCTTCCGTGAAGTATTTACGCTTTACTAAGGATTTATTTTGTTTTTTAGAGATAGCTTCGGTTTTTTTTCTATCCAGGAAACTACAAGTGATTGTGTTTGTAAAGAATATGATTTATAGAGTAAATCCTCAAATATCTTATATATTAATTACATAATTTAAGGTTTAGTAATAACGATTCAGCAAGGAATCAAACGAACGAAATTATTTCGCAATTACTCATCGCTGCCTCGTCGGCGCAGTCTTATTACTTTTGTTTAGTGTAGGTGTATTATGAATGGATTGTTTGAAATTCAACCCCCAAGCAGGTGAAATAAGGTAAAAATGTTTGTATAAAAAATCGTATTCCTTGAACTAATAAGATGAAATTTTAGTACAAACGACGCTGGAAAGCGATCTTGTCGTATCTCGAAAAATGGCAAAATGAGTGTTTTATATATTTGGAATCAGAAAATAATTGCGCATTTTTTATCTAGGTCTTATAATTCTACGACGATATTTTTTCGTTATACGACGTCGATTTTTGACCCTGATTTTTTTAAAAGCTTTAGATTTTGCTTAACACACCGTGCCACTTCGAAAATGTACATACACGGTAACGGCAAAATTACCAATTCTTTAAACAAAGGTGCACAAGATTCCCGTGGGGAAACACCGGTCATTGTTCGAACACACTTTTTTTGAGCTGTGAACAATTTTTTACACTCAGTTGAGTTACCTCAAACGAAGAGTCCATATCTAAGCAGAGACGCAACGTAACGGGGATCCATACTGTGGTAGATTTCGTTTACGATCACCATGCAGCACCGCGACGACGTGAAGTGAAGACGTGACCCGCCCAGTCTCACTTTAGTTTACCCGCTTGCTGAGCCACATCGGCGTTAGTATTTAAAATTACAAAATAAATTGTAGTTGTTCATCTAACCGATATCTGAGATTTTATAATACTCTATGTGAGTAACGAGCTTTGTCGAATAAAACCGAGATATGCCAAAGTCACGTATTATGCCCATTTCAGTAAATTCAAATTTTAAAACGCTCCCGTGTAAACTTGTCAATTTCTAATAGTATTGTATGTACTTATTTTAATTATACTAATTTTTATTTTAGATGGCAAAACGTCGAGTGTGGAAGTAGGAATTAAAACCGATACAAGACATTTGCAAAAAGCGATACAAGGCATTGCTTAAAGAACAGCAGTTTTGTTATCTTAGGATGTGATTTGTTGAAAATTACTTTGTCACAAGTTATGGCAAAAAAATTTCTTAATATTGTATGTACCTGTTTGGTCAGAAGTGCCAATAAAACCAGGACAATTGGTTATTTTGTTTTTCAGATAGAGACTGATTTGATTTCATTGTAACAAGTGCAGTTTCTGCATTTTAATTTTAATAAATATTTACGGCATTTTAAACCCTGAGAGATCTGTAGTTTTATTCATATTTACAACAAAATATACGCCATTATTCTAAAAACTATATTAGATACATCAATAAAATGGACCAACATATTGGACTCCAAATTAGTTAAAGCGAAATCACTTCTTGAAAGTTGTGTGGTATTTTGTTGCGCCATATGTTACAATTTCGATATACAGCAAAATGGCTGCTTGGTTTTGAAAACGCAATTGCTGTAACTAGTATAAAACCCATGTTAAACCAATTTTAGAATAATTTCGTGAATGCTATATGATGGCTGTTCCGTTTATATACATCGTACTTTAAAATTGGCTTTCTACTAATTCAAATTAAAGAGAAATGATATTTTGAAATAGTTTTTCGAATTGAATTTTGAATTTGTTTTTAGTTTTTTAAAATCCTATTTTTCGATGATAAGGCGAGAGTGCAAAATAGATATCCAAAATAATATTACTAAAGCATTTATTTTGTGATCTTGTCACTAAAGTTAGTACACTATTCTTTTAGAATTGGCAGGCTTGAAAATAAAATAAAATGAAAATAATATCCTGGCGTGGAGCTGCACCCAGTGCTGTAACATTGGGAACCCATTGGTCTATGAACATACTCAGGAGTCCTGCCGCGGAGGCGGGCTAGCATGGAGGCGCAACGTTTTCTCAACATCCCCGCAGCACTGCAACTGCAAATTTTATTATACAAATCGGCGGCTTATTGCAAGAAGTCATTTCGTTGCCATATAAAAATTATATGTCAATTAATGACTTCTAGCACTAATCCGACGAAATGGTATTAAAACATTGACATGGCACTTATTCAAAACAACCCCTGATTATGAGTGAACTGGGGTTTTAAAGTTTGAATAGGAAGTTTTTGAATAGTGGTGCGATTTGTATCAAACTTGGTTTGAATACTTTCGGAACGGTTACCATGCTGCCACGCAGAGGTCCTGGATTCGATTCCCGGGCCGGGAGAAATATTTGTATGGCCTACATTTATTTCTCTCGTGAGTTTGGGTGTAATTTGTCTTCCTATGATCGTGTATCTTCGTGGCACCTGCGATACAGGTTGCCCCAGTGCGCGGCTATGAGTGTATGTGTTAAAAAAAATCACATTTCAACAACAAGAACAAAAAATATCTCCTAAATTTTAATGACTTTTCATTAAAAAGGTTGTAAAAAGAGGCATTTTTTCGGATAATAGGTGACAGCAAAATCGGGATAAACGTGACGTTACCCCGAATTTCTAAAGATACGCTTTTATTTTAATAAGTTGTGGTACATTACTATTGGGGGTCGAGCGATTGTGGTCCCGCCACAATGTGCATTTTAATTAATTTGTGGTGAGAGTACCAACTCAACATCTGTCGATTTCACGAAGGAGGAGTTTTGACCGAATGGTGCCATGTACAGACGTTTCCAACACTGGTTACCGGATACCCACGTTGCGTTACACATCGCAGTACATACGTAAATAAACGATTAGTGTTTTGTTATATTATTATGTATGTTAGTCTATAAGGTAAGTATTTATGAGTCTATGCAACTTGAATATAAATAAACATATAACAGCTGGAATATGATTACAATAAATAGTATTTTTTTAATAAACTGATTCCTCTTTGTTACCTACTGAACGATTTTACTAGTTTAGTTAGTTAATAGCTTAAAATAAATAAATAAAATTAAATAAGAAAATAGGCTATGGGTTACCATAACTTTTAGAGGATCGTCTTTACTGGTATGGCCAAAAAACTCGATTCTGAAAATTAGATTCTGAGGTTAACCTCTTCAGACCTGAATCTTTTAGAAGTGAAATATTTTTTTTATTTTTTTATTTTGGGGTTCTTGAGGGTTCGAATAAAACATATTATCAAGATTTTTGGTTGCAGTTTTTTTATTTTGAAAAATAACATGGGTACACGAAAGTGAACCTCAGGACTTAAAGTAAGTAAAAAAAGACATTATTAAATTTATTTGTAGGTGTGGTACATTTCAAAACAGTTGTTTTTCATTACACATAGGTATATTTTGCACTTCGTACAAATGGTGCGACAACGTGAGGAGCATTGGGGATGCCTGCATTTTGATGGGAACTTATCATCCATGAACCGCGGCAAGTGTCCAACACCATCCAACCGAACCTCAGGGTTTGGTAGGGGCACCACTGCTCGGTACTTTTTTTTAGGTTCCCCTTCATTTCTTTCAGTCGACACAGTAGGCTGGTCAACCTCTTCCCTGCTAATACTTGGCCTCGATGTAAAATCTGGGTCAACCCTTCCGCCACTGAACCTCGCCATTGCGGTTGCCACATTTAGCCTGTATTGTAGTAATCCAAGCTTGTCCTTGGGTTCTATTCCCTCTTGGTTGCAGCAACGGACGTACATTATCCAGCAGTTTACTATGCTAAGATCCACAAAGTGACTGAAGGCTCTCACAGGCCACTTTTTGGTTCGCATGGCACTTCGGTAATAGGCTATCAGCCTGTCGCATAGGTCAATGCCTCCCATACAGGTGTTGTAGTTCTTCACGACATTGGGCTGCGGTACATCTATTTTTCTTTTTGCAGTCTTGACCCAGCGTTTGCAGGTTGCCATCGGAGCGCTGCCTGAGCAAGTGGAAAGCATTGTAACGGCTTTGGTGTCCTTCCATTTTACCACACATACCTTCTCATCGTTTCTAACTTTCTCATCAAACTCGCCTCTTTTCAAAAGCTTGTCAGTCTTCAGCTTCTTTGAAACATCTCCAAATCTATTACTCATCACAGTTCCAGTCAAATACACATTGTTTTTGTTTTCATTTAAATAATTTGCCAGCTTCAGGCTAGTGAAAAATCGATCTGTGTATAGGACACAGTTTTTGTCAACTGTGCGGCATAGCAGTTTCACAACGCCTGCTCCAAGCCCAAGTACAGCCATGTCTACTTGAGGTATTGTACATGAACCCACATAAATTTCAAAATCAAGGACAAGACCGTCTCTCGTAGCCAGAACGAAGTTCTTCAAACCAAGTGGGTTCGGCTTTGAAGGCACGTATTGTCGGTAGTCGCACCTCCCGGAAAATGGTACCATTTGCTCATCAATGGACATATGCATTGATCTCGGTAAGCTATGGCATTTTTTCAATATGTTGCTTAGCATAGGCCGTATTTTCCACAATTTGTCGCCATCTACCCGAGTCGCAGTATTATCAGCAAAGTGCAGATGATTTCGAAGTTCGAAAAACCGGTCGCGAGTCATTGTGTCCTTGACCAGGGGTACACAAAGTTCCCTACTCCAGTAAAGCCTAGCTTGTGGATACTTTAGAGTACCCATGAGTATCTGTATTCCAGTAAATTGAAACATTTCCACGTGATTTGTACAAACTGATCTCAAATCGCGTGTCTGTGCTGAGTACAAGTTAGTTTGGTCAGCTACAAGTTTCCAGAATTCCAAATCCAAATATTCGAAAAACGAATAGAGGCAGTTGGACTTTGAACTGCCCTGACTGAGGAGTACATCTTCAGTGATGTCAGGACCTCGAGAAATCATTTCTTTACTGAGCCAAAACTGGCGAGAAGTAACTTCTTCATGGCTTACTTGAGGTTGAGAAGGCTCTTCTTCAGACTCCGATGACGAGGGTTCATTGACTTCTGGAGGCAAGTACTCTGGTTCATCTTCATCGCCAGAAAAGTCTCCATCACTAGTATCAAGTGCTTCCAAAATAGCTCTATCATCCATGATCTATAACGTAAAATAGATCTTTACGATTTTTTCACACAAGTAAAAAAACTACTAAGTAAACCTGAGGTGCACGTAAGTGAACTTTAAAAACAAGATGTAATTTCCCAATGAAAAATACATTTTCCAGAAAGTTATTCACTAAAATATTAAAATACAACTATTTTTCTATTAAATTTCGCAAAAAAATAAGTGAAATATCGTAGTTAAATATTTTTACCTGCTTCGTGAAGATTTTGTGCCGGCGTAGTGAAAAAAAACGATGCACTTTTAAATTCAAATCAATTGTTTACCCGCTTTTTGCCAATACAATTTTAAACAAACGGATTTATTTGGTACTAATAGGTTTAGCCACTATAAAAATAACGCGAAAAGCGGCTAAGAGATGTCGCTAGAGGTTTTGATATCAGTTCTTCTGAGGGTCACGTACGTGTACCCAGGGTCTGAAGAGGAAAAGCTGGTCTTGCCGCGCTTCTGCAGCGTTTCGGAGTACGTTTGTACAGGCGCACACAGACGGCTTTGCATTGCAGGTATCATGCGCAAGACTTGCCTTGATGCTGCGCCGCCTGCGCGACTGCCCCAACCGCGTCCTGGAGTGCGTTTTCTGCTTGATGGGGCTCGCCGATGTTCGCCCATTGGATGCAACGCACACTGTTACCTAATATTTATTTGTGTTTTTGTGTTTGTATTGTGAAGCATTTCGTAAATTACCAATAATCATAAATAAGAATAATTGTTAAAAATGTTCACCCGCCGTCTCTTATAACTAGTTCCATCGGCGACAGGGCCTCTTTTGCTTGGCAAAGTATCTTACTGAAATGCCTATAAATATCAAGAATCCATCACTTGTAAAATTCGTCATTGCGTAAATCTAAAGAGTCCTTTGAGTTGTCACAACCTTAGAAATTGTTTTGTGTCTTCCCACGTTTTAAAATTTGGGAGCATCTTATATTTAAGACTGCGGGGGCTGGCCTTATTATCGGTGGTATAAGCCAAGAGTATTGAGAGTGAGTTGCACAGAGAGCAATGGAGCAGGGTCATGCCCGGAATCAAGCTTATAGACCGTGTACCTAATGTCCAGATTCGAAGTCGAGCAAAGGTGCAGTGAATGGAACTGAATTACGAAGCTAAAGCGGAGCTGGGTAGGGCACGTGATACGGAGACAAGATGACAGATGGAGTAAGGCGATAACTGAGTGGTGTCCAAGGACTGGATACAGGAACCCAGCAGTGAATGAAGTCAGGCTGTATATGAGATATGAGAAATCATGAATTGGGGCTGAAGAGATGTAAGTTATAACAACGACGCGATCGCAATACCCGTGGTCCTTCCCTCAATAATATAGGATTGAAGAAGAATTGTGTTTCAGCATCCAACACATATTTTGTTCATCATAATCATTTCAGAATTACCTTCACCAGATCATCGGTTCTCCTCGTGGTTGATCTGCCCACTCTGCGTCTTCCGGTATACTTTGAAGTTAACTCCTGGTAACAAAATAAACAATAAGAGCGGTGTCATCAGCGAAAATACAGAGGCGTTACGTAGTTTAATGTTATAGATATTGTTTTAGCATTTTGGCCTCTTTTAACTTGAACCACAGAGTTGTATTTTAAAGGAGGCGAAAGAAAAATTTTATCCGCGTCGTTGCATGTAGACCCTCTTCTGCCCTCATTAAAAACGGTCTAAACCGAGCTTTAATTTTACAAATAGCACCCCATTTAACGCGGCAACGTGAAGTAATGAAAAATTAGGCCGCCATTTTAAAATTTTTATGTTAAATAAATACATGCTATTCCTTTGTTTTGTTTCTTGAAAACTATATTATAGTGATATAACGAATTTAGAAATAGTGTTGGTATTATAAAGCCACATGTGGTCGTATATCGAAAGTCATGTCGTGCGCCTGATGTTAAACAACACGTTTGTCTATAGCATCCCCTTCCTTCCTATATAAGTTTTGATTAAAGTAACCCTCCATACCGACCCTTAGGGTATACGAGAAAGGCACTATAGCCTGTGCGTGCACAGTAACCTTTTAAGTTCTGACCTCAGACCAGCCAGCGTACAGGTTTGCCACAAACCGTTGTCACTGACTTCATTCGGTTCACAACGCCTAGTGCTTCGGTTGAGCCGCCCCTGGTGCACGTACAGTACCCTCCCTAGGTACCGGAGCTGTAGGCACGCTCACTTCCTGTTGCGCATTGTACAATTAACGGTTGCCACCGCTAAGCCGTTGACTCGAGAGTCCACTACCAAATGTCCTCTTTGGTGGTGGAGTTGTAAAGCACGCTCACTTCTCGACGCCGAACCTTCTCTCCAGTTCCCTAAAACCTACGCGACTGAAGGGACCGGAGAATGTCTAGCTCACCGTCTACTAGCTCTCCGAGCAGTGTCCTGCGACAAAGTCTGGACATTGCTTATAACTTAAAGACAATTCACGGGCCCGACGCGTCTCCTCGCCTTAGACCCTCGTCAAAACCGCTACTAAGATGCGCTAGTTGCATACGAGTTTATACCCAGAGTCCGAGTCCGCCGGAAATGCTTGTGAAGGTGTATCACTGGCAGACGGCTTAACCGGGACACCCGCCATATGGTCTTACCGGTGAGCCCGTATGAACTCCCTATCTCTCGGGTAGGTAGATAGGGACATTCGGGTCTGTAGATAGGGAGATGCTTGTCTATAGCATTTGCCGCGTCACTTGAAGGCGCTTAACAATTGATATGAAATCGACATTCTCTGGTTGCGGCAACCGCCATTTGTATGAAAACAGAATATTCGATTTGAGTTGCCTGTTGCTTGTATCCAACACAAGACACGCCTGTCACTCTGAGACATAAGTGACAAGTCCTATGTGCTTGTAATTTCATTCTTACCCTTCAAAACCGGAACGCAGCAATGCTCACATTACTGCTTGGCGGCAGCAACAGGTAAGGTGGTAGTACTTTCCTGCTTTCCTGGACAAAATCTTTCACAAAGAGCTGTATTGGTACTAAAAATTAAATACAATATATATATATATATATCAATCAGTTATATGATAACTTATTTCTACATTTATATAAATAACCTTGTAACTTCTGAATATTCCACGGATTAACCGATCACCACCGCACCACAATAGACCTTAGTGGTATTTCGACCGTGACGTTGGCAGAATCATTAAATGAGAATGATATTTATTATCATTTGATGATTCTCCAGTAGTGATAGAACTACAAAAATTTTGAAGTAAAATAATGTGACCATTATTTTTTCTCTCAGAGCGGGACACATGTAATTTTATCCTTGTTTTAAAAATAAAAGACTTGTTTATGATAGTTACCAAATGTTTAATGATAAAAAATATTAATTTATGTGATTGTTGCATAATGGAAGGCATTAAAATACGTGTGTGGGTTTATGAAACGAGCCGACAGGCGAGTTACATACACTGCTTTATCTATACACATATTATAAGCTCTCTATGATGTGTTCAGGAACCGCAGATACGACTGGCGAAATGGCGGCAAATAAAAACCTTTCTCACGCATGTCACACAACCGTAGTTTTTATTTAATTAATAGACAAACTAGAGTCGGCCCCAACAGTCATATCGTTCGATATCCAGTAACGTGTGAAATTTGTCAAAATTGTTTGCTATTGATATTTTTTAAATAAAACTTCATCTCGACTGATATTAGAATTGAGGTCAAATCAAATTATTTTGTTTTTCAGAGATGTTCGAAATTTGAATGTAAATAATAAAATCGAATTTAATGTTATTATTAAGCAATAATAACATTTTCACAGATAAGAAATTTGTTGTAATAAAACAGTTTATCTTTATGCTGGTCGTAATTTGCGGTTTTTGAACACATCATAGTGGGTTCCTGATATGTGTGTAGATAAATAAATAAAAAGAACTAAAATTGTTTAATGAATTAAATTAAAATTAAAAAAAAAAACGAAATAATCTTGTGTCGTCTGGTGCTCGATGTCTGGTTGGTGGTCTTTATATTTTTTTTTTGCTTTCGCGCCATTTTTTAAAATGTGTTGTTACGTGTGTTATGTTTTGTGAAAGCTGGACACTTTTAAGTATTTTGGGGACAGCGGGACACGAAGCCTAAAACCGGAACTATCCCGCTCAAAGTGGGACGTATGGTCACTTTAAGTATAAATTATATATTGGGCAAGATACCTTACGAAATGAGCAAAACTATTAATACAAATGAAAGTGTTTATATAGATTGATTTGGATCTCCAGCGGCACCGTCCATAGAACTGTATGAAAGTTCCTAAATAAGTAAATTATATTTAAAAATGCGTCTGGTATTTATATATATATTATATTTATTATATATATATATATATATATATATATATATATTATAAAAGGAAATAGTACATAACAAAAGAAAATACCACAAAAATGTTCTACATTCAACTTATTTAGTGAAAAATTTGTTCTTACTTCTATTAATTAGTTAACTATAATGTTTCTTACAAAAAAATCTTTTAAACAACAAGGAAAAAAACACCCTCCTACCGCAGCAAGATGCGATAACGTTCGTCAGAGTATAAAATTAAAAAATGAAAGAATTTTCTTCGTTACAACTTTACAAGCTGCACTCTGAACTGTAAAGTAGCCTGTAAAGTACACTACATTCGAGAAGAGCTCCTGACCCGTCTAAGGGCGAGGTCAGACGAGCGTAATCATGTGAGTTGTGAGTCGTTTTTCGACTCGCGTAACTTACACTACATACGGTTTCTTCATACAGACGTCCGGTTTGTGTCACACGACGACTAATTATTTTAATTAATAACTACCGAATTTCGGTTGCACTTTGTGTGGAAATGGATGTAAGGGAAACATTTTATTGGCATGTAGGTAGTACATTATAAATTGATCTGGATGTTCGCATAAACTTTCATATGTTTATTTCAAATTGCCTAAATTTTAATATTTTCATAATGAGTGGATGTACCCAGCTTCTGTTGTCACTCGCGCCATCTGTAG